TTTAAGTATATGTATTTATTTAAAAGGGCCATGCATTACCATATATATTTTAAGTATATGTATTTATTTAAAAGGGCCATGCATTGACATATATATTTTAAGTATATGTATTTGTTTAAAAGGGCCATGCATTGACACATATAGTTTAAGTATATGTATTTGTTCATATTTACATTAAACATTTTTAACCAACTGTATAGCAATAAAGAGTATTTATATCTTGTGGCTGTCAGACATCTGAAGTTAATTTTATAAAGATCGCATATTAAGCCTGACTATCCACACCTATTAACCCACTCCACCAAATTTAGGACCGTGCACAGATTTGGTGTTAAACTATTTCCGGGTTATCGATATTATTTCCTTTATTAATTGTATTTATATCATTTCCAAATCGATAAGAATTTAAAATGAGCACTAATTGCAGATTGATGTTTACGTTCTTTGAAATCGTTATTCGCTCTCCGTGTCATTAAATGGATAAATAACTACTTGTGAAGCGTTGCCACGGCATTTTTTAGACGTTTCACTCCAAGCAAGGCGACAATGTCACTAGAACGCTGGGCGTGAAAGTGAATGAAAATGAAGCGAATGGAAGTGAAGGGCATTGAGGAAATGACATAAAAGGAACGAGAGAAGATGGCGATTGACGTTACATTGAAGATTGTAGTTATCAGGGAAGAAAGAAATCGGAAAGGAATTCCCCAGATGGGAAGTGCGAAAATTTTTTTTAGAGCAGGAACGGCGGTTACATTTATCTATCAGGTCATCCCATTAGTTCTGTCCGAATTTTGAATAAAGAAAAAAAGTGATCGAATGTTAAATTTAATTGCAGATTCAATCAACAATGTATTTTCCCTGATTATCTAGGACTTCCTTCCATATATTAACAAGCTTACTAATTCCATTACTGTAAAATTCTTTTGGCTTTGATTCGAAATCTCTTCCTGTGTTACAAAAGCTGTTTCTTCCAAATGATTCTGTAAGCTGCGAAACAAATGGTAGTCTGAAGAAGAAAGATCAGGAGAATAAGGTGGATGAGGAATTTTCTCCCAACTAAGTTCTTCGATCTTTTGTGACGTGATTCTTGCTGTGTGGGGTCGCGCATTGTCCTGATAAAACATCACCTATTTTCGATTCAATAGAGCAGGTCTTTTTTTCCTCAAAGCTTGGTTCAAACGCTCTAATTGCTGACAGTATATTTGAGCATTAATTGTTGCATTAAATGGTAAGAATTCAAAGTGGATTATTCCTTGGCGATCCCACCAGATTGAAGGAAGAACCTTTTTCCCATGAAGTTCCCTTCTCGGCTGTGGCTGGGTTCCTTCCCCTTTATCAAGCTACTGTCTGCGACGCTTAGCATTTCGATAAAAGATCCATTTTTCTTCGCCAGTCACAAGTCTATCTAAAAAAGATGAAACAAATTGGAGAGAAGAGCAGATGTCAACTCAAGATTTGAGGTTGTTTTCAGATAATTCATGAGGCACCCATTTTCCAACTTTAGGAACTTTTTCAAGTTGTTGAAGATGACGATAAATAGTTGTATGGTTTAAACTGAAAACCACTGTCAATTCCTCAACTGATAAAACAGGATTTTCTTCAAGGGCTGTTTCATGAAGCTTTTCATCAAACTCAACTGGACGTCCGGTTCAATCTTCATCTTCAAGGGTGAAATCTCCACCACTGAATTTTGCAAACCATCTTCTGGAAAAGTTCTTTCATTAACGCATTCATCTCCATAAACTGAATGAATGTTTCTTGCCGCTTCGGCTACTGAGTTTCCTTTCTTGAACTCATAAAGCATTATGTGCCTCAAATGATTCTTGGGTACTTCCATGTTATCATGGTTTTAATCAAACAAAATTTAATTTTATTGTTCTCTGAAATAAAATTTGATTAGTTTAAATGCATCTAAACATAAAAATAATGTTCAGCTCCATTAGACATTATATAATACTCTTTAAATTTCGTTCATTTTAACAAAAAGTTAAAATTCGGACAGAACTTATGGGATGACCTGATAGTTCACCATTAAATGAGCTTTAAATTTATTGTGTTTATTAGCTTTTCTACGGGATTTTTTTTAATCGTTTCACTGCAAGGAAGGTAACGATGCCATTAGAGCGCAGGGTGGGGGCAGTACAAAGAGTGAAAGTGAAACTGAATGAGAAGACTGAGTGTGAGGGGGGATAGAGGAAAGGACAAAAAATAGAAGTTCAAGAAGATAAAATATGGCGGTTATTTTATAAAGATCACACATTACGCCTGACCAACCACTTCCGTTGAACCGCTTCACCATATTCGAAGATTCTACTTATCAGGGAAGAAGGGAATCAGGATGAAGATCCCCAGGCAGGCAGGGCAAGAAAAAAATGTTATCGTAAAAGTGAACGCAATGGCTCACATTGGTAATTGGGTGAACAACGTTGCCATTTGGCTGTAGGCCGGTACAGCTCTCTTCATGCCAATATCCCACTGTCGCACCGTCTCGATTTTTCGCTAAAAAGGCATCTTTTCACCATGCGCAATATTTTCTTCTCATATTAAGTGGCGCAATGTGTGGGGTCTGTCTGTATCGTCTAAATGCTATTCTCTCCAGCTGTGAAATTGAGGGGTAAAAATAAAAATAAGAATAAATAAAAACAAGCAAAATATCTTAACCCAATAAACGACTTCCGGTAAAATAACCGCCAAAATAGAATAACCACAATGCACCACTCTCCCGTATATATATAAATAGTCGAGAAAAATAAGAACACTCGTGGACTGAGGATTGCGTCTAGCATGAAACAGACTGTCGCCTCTAAGTGTTGATTTTTATGTTCACTTTATATATATATATATATATATATATATATATATATATATATATATAATTTGGATAGATGGTTGAGTTTGTACCCTGGTTTTGACCCTGGGTTTCACGCTTTAGCGATCGTCAGACAAACTGATTAATGTTTTAAAAGTTTGGGTTTATGTAGATTGCGTGTATTGGTGTTATTGTGGAAGTGGTGGGGAAATTTCGTCGTTTTGTCATTCATCGTACTAACGCAAACATCGATGTATGCAGACACATATACATACTTGGTCGTCCGTCGGGACTCATGCATATATAAACGTATGGGCAGTTTCGGCTATGACATGTATGTATACGGGTGGTGTTATGTCTATACATACGCATTTTGTATGTTGAATTGTTGAAATTTAAACATTGGAAGTGTGGCGGAAATGTCTCGTTAATGTCTCGTGAATGTATCATATTATGAAATTTTTTTTTTTTTTTCGCTGAAAAATATTTCCTCGCATGTATGTATATACGTGTGGGGTTTGTGTAAAATTATGATAGGTAAAAATTATTATTATTATTGTTTATATTTATTTTTAAATTTTTGAAAAAAGTTGGGGGTTATTTGTTATATTTAAAGCTGGTTATTTGTTTGTTTTTGGTGACTGTGTATATGTAACAGGTAAAATTTGTAATCCTTATTGTTTAATTTATATGGTGATGTTTAATATACTGGGTGAGAGGGTGGTTCAATTTAATAACGGGTCTATATGATATGATGTGATAGTAATGTTTCAAGGGATTGGAGACAATGATATTTAGCTAATAGTTATTGTAAATTGGAAGAAATTGCAAATTGGTAGAAATGATTAGTAAACGGTGGTGGGAGAATGATAAAACCATGAATGTAGTTTTAGTGGTGGTAGCTTGAACTAAAAAGTGGTTGTTGGTGTTTTATTTTGTTTTTGTTTTATTTTGTTATATGTATTAATTTATTTTGGTATAAATCCTGATAATAGGTATTCTGTGTAAAATTATGGTAGTTGAAGATTGCTATAATTTTTAATTTTTAATTACAAAATTATTATTGTTATTATATTAAAGCTGCCTGGTAATAGGTGTTTGTTCTCATGGTTACATATGGAAATTATATCTGATCATATTGTTTTAAGGTATTAAATATGCTGGGGGAGTAATAAAGATTGTAGTGGATTATATGTTAATAGTGGGTGTGATGTGTAAGTGATGGTGCTGTGTGTTGGTGGTAATGATAATATTGATAGTTAATAGATATTGTAAAGGGGTAAAAGTGATTACTAATGGTGGTGCAATTATAATAATGATAGGTGCAATTATTTTGATGGTATCTTGAAATTAAATTGTGATTGTTGGTGGTTTGTCTGTTTTATCCGTTTGGTATGAATTCGGATAATAGGTACTTGTTCTCATGCCTACATTTGGAGATTATCTCTGATGTTTTGTTTCTAATAAGTACCGCGCATATAATATATAAATAATTATACATATAAATATTTATTTATATTTATATACACCTCTCACACACACGCACACACACACACACACACACACACACATATATATATATATATATATATATATATATATATATATATATAGGTTCTCTGTATATCTGATTTTAATATATTTTGGGTGGCATTGTTGAAATACATTTCTAATACTGAAAATCCTATATCGCCCACACAAATGTCCAATTTCTATTTTCATTTCAGTGTTTTATCCCCCCTTGGGCGATATCACCCTGGTTGTGAAACCCATGTTAACAAGATGAAAACCTGGGTTTACAAGATGATCTAATATAGATGGCTAAATATAGAAAGATTGATGTTTTTTACGGTGTATCCATCTTCTGCTGGTTATTTAAACACAGTTAATACTTTTAGATTTTAAGAATGTTTTTGTAGATAATAAGGTTTTAATCATCAAGTGATAATAATTAACCCTTAGCTTAGGCGAGAATTGGTAGAATCATATTTTTCTCAAGGGTACTTGCACAGAACTAAATATAACGACCTGACTGGAATTTGAACTCTCCACTTCCGATTCGTCATCCAATAAACCACCTATATCTCCAAGCTTACATCACCTGGGATTCTCAATACTGTCACGTATCAAGGTACTGACCTGATTCGACATAGCTTAAATTCGGCGATCGTACGAGAACCAATCTTTGAACGTTTTATGGCCGTAATCCGAGAAAAAGAAAAGAACTGATAGATAGATAGATAGATAGATAGATAGATAGATAGATAGATCTACATGGAGAGAGAGAAAGGAAGTAACCATAAGGCGCACTTAGCGGAAATATATATGAAATAATCTGTAAAAGAAAAAAAGAAACAAAGACAAACCTGGATTAGGTAGATAAAGAAAGAAAAGTATATGACAGATACAGAATGAGAAGTTGGAATAGCTAAGAGTATAATGGAATAACAAGCGAGATATATAGACTTACATTGCGATATAATCTTTCGTAAATAAATCTAACAGTAACAACACACACACAGGATGCAAACTACACAAGACCAACATTATTTATGAATTTACATGACTATAACTGATATTCGTTCCTTACGGAAAAACCATGAATAATAATTACATCGGACATACTTATTAAGAAGATTTAATTTGCATCTCTGTGATCATATCACCATTTCAACCAATTTATATATAAACGGAAACCTTCTAACCTCTATCCGCTGCTTATTTGCAGAAAACAGGAATATAAATCTAAATGTAGGAAAATAACGGAAGGTTAATGATAAAAGAAATAAACTCTCAATAATGTCAATTATGAACACGGCCAAAACGAGCTGAGAGTGTTTGCAAATTAAAACATTCCTACTGCTATTAGAAAAAATCTACATACTCAGCCCGAAAATATCCTTGATAATGGCTGACAGATTAACCGAAATCGATCGGATACATGCATCATTTGGACAGTTCTTACATAAAATGTCTGAAAAAAAGCAATTTTACGAATGCAAGAAATATATAATGAAATTAATTGCAGTGTCTTATCAGTGTTGTTCAACGAAAAAAAAAACTCACACACACACAAACACACACATATATATATATATATAATGAGAACGAATAGAGTACAATTCCAATGCTTGTAACATTATTCAATTTAAAAGCAGGCTAAAGACAAAGTCGAGCAATATTCTTTATTTTAAAATATTACATCAGAAACATATCAAAAAACGCTACACAATTGCTGCTGTATTTCGATGCGAATCCTTTAAAACTTCTAAATCCATAAGAATCTGCTATATCCGAAGCATCTCGATTCAAAAGGAAGAAGTGGGCTTTCAATCTCATTCTTCTAATCAAGTCCTCAGGATTTAAAACCAGTATTTCAAAATATTCTCCGTTGTTTGTGTTGGGAATATTTTTAACGAAATTCTGAGACTCATTTTTCCATATTTGAGTAATAAATAAATGTAAACAGTGTTCAACCTTCCATGTAAGACGAAAATGAATATAGTACAGTTTCAAATCGAAAGACGACTATAATTGTGTAGCGTTTTTTTTGACATGTTTTGATATAGTATCCTAAAATAAATGTTTCATTGAATATGACTTATATATAGAGACCCTGTGGAGTAATAGAGTTCGAATTCCAGTCGAGTTCATTACATTCTTTTACGTGCTAATATGCTTGAAAACGTAGGAAACCATCTCGTCTCCTACTCCCACCAGCTAAGATAGCAGGACAGACTGGGTCCTATTCAAGAGTCTAGGAGAAGGAAAACTCTGTATTCGGGTCTGCGCAAAGCTTTACGGTTATGACCAAATGATATGTGTGGGCAGGTTGTTTCCCAGAAATGCTTGATAACTGAAAAACGACAGGAGCGTTAATTTTTTAAACCTGAGGAGGATGATATCAATAAAATTCAGAGCAGATATGTTTGACCACGTTAAGATTCCATTGTATATATATATATATATATATATATATATATATATATATATATATATATATATATATATATTCTATCTGATATTATTTTACCCATGAATATATCTTTAAAAATTTGCTCATATATATATATATATATATGTGTGTGTTGTGTGTGTGTGTGTGTGTGTGTGTCTGTGTGTGTGTGTCTGTGTGTGGATAAAGTTTCGTCAGAGATCAAGAGATAAATGATAAAAAATTAAAGATGTAACAGATAACATTCAAATATTTGTGTGAAACATTCTGGACGCTGAAGAGTTTAAATATTAGTGAGACGCTGCAGGATGTTATGAAAAATTTTGTTTTGGCTTGATTTATCATTAAAGCCTATCTCGAGGGTATTTTTTTTTATGTATCTTCATTGAATTTTATGTATTATATAGACACAAGTTCGATTCATGAATAATGGATCTAGAGAAAAATGGTGAAGTAATGCAGTTTTTTAAACGTCTCTCAATAGATGTTGGCATTGCTGTAAATTTGTTTTCATAATATTTTCTCTTTAAAGAGTTAATTTCTTTTTGTAATATATTGTTATAAAGTTACTTTATATCGCGGTGCAGCCGAGAGAATTTGAATATTTAATATATATATATATATATATATATATATATATATATATATATATATATATATATATATATATATATATATATATATATATATATATATATATATATATATATATATATATATATATATATATATATATATATATATATATATATAAACACACACACACACACACACACACATATATATATATATATAGGATGTATCAAAATAGGTTTACGAATATTGCGTGGTGGTGGGGGGTTACCCACACACCAAAAGAAAATGACAAAAGTCCATATAAACATATGTCAGTACTAAATTTGATGAAGAGTCCCTGTAGTATTAATGTCTGCAACATAAAACAATTTTGTCGGTGGCTCCACAAATAAAAATCCAAATGATTGAGGTCAAGGAACGTGCGTACCATGGAATCAGGTCTCTCCTACTGATATTATGAATATGCATAAACCTGGGTTCCCCCTCACAGTAATATGATTGGCTGGTGTCATCCATAAATATAGACTGATGTGGAGGTACATGGACTCCGCCTTCTGCCTACCACTGCGACGAGGACCCGTCATTACGGTTACCTGCTAGATTGCCTTTACCCGGTTACAGTCGTCCAAAACCACTTTGCTACTTCGAAAAAAATATAACCCTTTCCGGGACATATCACCTACCTCTCACTCTTTTATTTGTGTGAATATTTTGTTCTTGTTTGAGTTTGAAAAAATCCGCTCGCAAATTTTGTACAAGTATTTTTATACATCCTATATATATATATATATATATATATATATATATATATATATATATATAAATAATATGAAAAATATTAAAAAATAAAATCTTCAGGCACACTGGGTTGTAGATTAATATTCTTTCGTTTTTTTTTTTTTATTATTATTATTTCATTTAGATTCCTCGACTAGTTTCGTCCAAAATGGCCATCATCTGGAGAAGAAATATTTCTGCTTACTGGTAGCAGTAAACTACAGAAATGAATGTCTTGCTGGAGAAAATGAACTTTTGTCTGTAGTTTTCATTTGTTTTTTTTTGTTTTTTTTAATCTTTTTAACTTGAATCTTTTAACATTCCTTAATTCCATATATACATATATATATATATATAACTATAACTATATATATATATATATATATGTGTGTGTGGGGGGGTGTAGATTTCTTACAAGAATGTGTACGCAAGCTCCATCGAACAAACATATGTAGCATTATTAGAATGATTTAATTCGGTATTGCCTACCCAATTTTCCGCCATTTCTCCCGAAAGCCCTAAAAGCCCATTTCCCGTTTATGTATAATTATTTTCTTATATATTTATACAATAAGCGAATGTCTTTCTCAATTACGACATTGTTAACGTAGTGAATATGTTCATAAATCTGGTATTCAGTTCGCAAGAAAATAACAGCAACAAAGAAATGTGACTCCGAATGGCGGACAAGACGAGCAACTGGTTGAAATGGAATTCGTAATTGTTATTAATGAATTGTGTCGTTAAACTTATTCAGCAAAGAAAATTGCGTATTTGAAACACGTCTTATGTATAAAATCTAGAAAGAAATTGTCAATGTCCTTTTTATTTCTTATGCTTTTGTTTCCGTCTTGGTAACTTCATAATTTACAAGATTTTTTTTTTTCTTCTTTTGTGCATTTTCATACGGAATTTGATTTGGCTTTCATATAAGCTACCGTGACTCTACACATTGTTTTTTCATTGGTTTTTATGAGTCCTTTTTTTTTTCTTCATATTTTTTTTTCAAATTTTGCTTTATCTCTGTTATTTCATTTTTTTTTTTGTGTGTGTGTGTCGGGGGATTTTAGCCATATCTCTTTTTCTCTCTCATTTTTACTTTTGCTTTTTCATCATATTCCTATTCTTTTATTCCAATTATTTCGACACATTTTTTTGTTAGTGTTTCCTTTCTTCTATTTTGTTGCCCGTATGTTTCCTTAATTTCTCCTTTTTTTTCTTTCTTTCTTTCTTTTTAACCTCTTTCTTTTTCCAATTTTCTTTTTCTTTTACTCATTCGTTTTTTCTTTCTTGTTCTCTTTCTTCGTAAATAATACATAAAAACCTGTTATTTTCCCTTGGAGTTTCTCAACGTTCTTCATCAACCATGCTTTCTATAATGTTCTTCATATCTATCTATCTATCTATCTATCTATCTATCTATCTATCTGAGTTTGTCACTGCACAAACCCCACCCTCATATATATATATATATACATACATATATATATATATATATATATATATATATATATATATATATTATTATTTAAAAAAAAAAAGTTCTATAACATAAATATGTTATAAAATCACTACAAAAATAGACATTTTGTTTCAACAACCGCGGTGTCTTATCAAGTGATGATGTTAAAGATAAAATAAATGGTTTTAAAAGTTTCAAAATAATTAACGATCCTTCACAAGGGGAAAACATTGTTACAAAAGCTATAATTACCAATCAAAATCCAAGTATAGGAAGATTCAAAAGCTTGACAACGAAACCATGTTATAATAGCTATTCAGATCATTAAAATACGGGTAATATTAAAAGGAATTTAAACTAACCATTAATTATAAAATTATATTATAAAATTTGATAATAAAATGAAAAACTGCCAATTTTAAATTCCAAATTTAATCACTATTAGGTTGAAAACTATAAAATTATTGAGAAAAGAAAAAATACATATGTTATTCAATTTAGTTCTTCGTTGAAATTACGTTCGACAAGACG